AAAAAAAAAAAAAAAAAATTAAAATAAATAAAATAAATAAATAAAAATCGTAGCCTCTATTTGGTTCAACTACAAATCGATTAAAATTTAAAATTTTAATCACATATTTCATAACTTTTCGATATATTTAATCAGCTCTTATAAACTAAACATGACCTAATTATTTTTCTCCTTCACTTGGTAGGGGGTTGGGGCAGGGGAAATTTACCCGTAATTGTATGCATAGATGAGGTATGAGATAAAAAGACCGGAGGGTTCCATACATTAAACCATTAAAATGAATTTTTAAATTATACTTAATTAGTCCTCCAACTTAGCTTCTATTTGACAACCATTAAAATGAATTTTTGGAGAAAATAAATTTTGAAATAATGATTTTTTGGAGAATGTATGGTTAAAAAGTAGGAAAAACTTTGGATTTACATAAAATATTTTATTGTAAGAATGTGTGGTTGAAAATGAGTCTGAGGAAAAAAGAATTTTGTTTTAATGAATGCCAAACAAGGGCTTAGCACCATGAACATTGTCAATTTCTTCATTTGTCTCCACTTTTCTAAGAGTCTGGTTGACAACCATTATTGTAGAAAAATGAGTTTTGAATAGTGATTTTTAGGAAAATATGTTGTTAAACAATATGAAAAAAATTATTAATATACGTGTAAAATATTTTATTGTGCGAATGTTTAGTTGATACTTGAGAATGGTCATGTAACAAGCTATAAAATAAATTAATAGTTGTCAAATGGACACTAAATTCTAACTAATGAAAATATGAATTTAGCCCTTAATTTTGCCCAACTCACCATCACAAGAACCTAATTGTCTATAAATCCTACGTGCAAAAGGTCCCTAAACTTTTTAACGTACATGTTCAGTCCTTCAACATAACAACATGAATCATTCAAATTAGCAAAATTGATGAGTTGGCATTCGGAATTACTTATGTAGCATCTCGTCCAACTTAGAATTTACCTTCGCGAAAGGCAGAATTTTCATCCAACTCGATGGAATTACTTACGAAAGCAATAGAGGGGATTTCATAAGGCACAAAGTGTAGCGCACGACACATGATTGGGGTGATGCAGAGTTGAATGAAAATAAAGAGGGAAATCTCGAAAAATAGGTAAATGATGAACGATAATTGCTTATGAAAAAAGCAAAATAATGAATGAACATAGAAAGTGCCATTGGAGTTGTGTAAAAAAGTTTGAATCTTTTTATTTTAAAAAATTCCTTAACATACTCTTTATATATATTATAAAAGACAGTTTAAAATAAAGAGCACAAGAACATTTTCAAGTCGCTACTAATCGTGAATCATACGAAGCGTATGTAAATAAAAAACTAATTCAACTTTTGCCTAACATACACTTAGAGCTTGTTTGGGAGGAATTAAAATTCAATTAAAATTGAAAATATAGTCGTTATTGAGTTCCACTCGTCTAATAAAAGTCAACTTCAACGACTAGTTTTTCAATTTCAATCTGATTTTAATCCCTCCCAAACAAGCTCTTAATACTTGTCTAAACGCACCATATTAGTCCATGAAACGAAATAGTAGCCTGACTATTGGGTGTCTAGGAAAAATTCCATTGGTGCCATGCAAATTCCAAACATTTGGTTTGTCCATATCTATATTGTGCCCTTCGAGCTTCATTTGAACTTTGCCATTTTAAGGCTCCATCCATATATAGTCAAAATAGAATAATGTCGACATCTCATAACTTAGTTATTTAATGATATGTAAATTACACGTGTTCTTAATCAGAAATATAATGGGAACTCAATTTTATTCAACACAACATATAGAACACGTCATGCACCTAAAAGTCGAGCTCACAATAAGTCCTTTTAAAGATCTGATACGATTTCTATACAAGAGTCGATTTCAAATGTGGACCTATAGCAAAATCTAAATAAAGAAAAAGAAAAAATCCCAGAAGCGTACATTCCTCCACTACCAATAAATATTATAATCATAAAAGGTAGCTAATCAAATGTCATTACCAACTTCAACACCAAATAATACATCTCGAAACTTACATTAACAGAAGAAAATAAACAAATTCTGATAGTACATCCCTCCTCTCCAGAACTTCTTAAAAGCATGCATCAAGGAGACAGCAGCAGCACAGGGCAGCCAAACTGCAAATTAAAAAAATCAAATCTCAATACAAGTGGCAAAAATCTTACCTTAATAGTTGTAAATATATAAATGTATAAATATTTGTGTGATGTGTGAGAATCTGTGCCATTGATTTGAATAAGTGTTATT